TCAATTACTCCTGCACATCCATGCATTTCCTTGTGTTTTACTGACCACAACCATTTCCCAGTTCTAATTCTGATTATCAGTAGCTACTATTAGTCATTACTCAGCCAGAGGGGTAGTGCACACTTGTGATCCCAGCACGTGGGAGGCTGAGGCAGGAGGATCGCTGTGAGTTCGAGACCAGCCTGGGGTACAAAGTGAGCTCAAGGCCAGCCTGGACTGCACAGGGAGACCCTGTCTCAAAAAGACAAAGCAAGCAAGCAGATACACGGATTTAACTCAGTGGCATAAAAGTTTGGCAAGCACAAGGTCCTGAGTTCGATCCCCAGTACCCAACAAACAAACAAACAAAAAGAAAGCTGATACCTTGCTGGGCATGCCGGTGCCCACCTGTGGTCACAGCCCTCTGGGAGGCTGAGGCAGGAGGATGCCCATGGAGAGCAACCTCCCTATCCAGTGCCGTCTGTTTCCTGCTTGATGACTGCATCGTGGAGCGGCCAGACCACAAACCTCACGGCCTGTGAATGACCGGCTTCTGGGACAGAAGCAGCAGGGAGGTTTCCTGTCCAGGGCTGTTCACCTTCGGCCCTCCAGTTCCCACTCTCCTGGCCGCGTGTGTGGTGTGTGGTATTTTATTTTCTTTTGAGACAGGGTCCCACTGTGTAGCCCACAGTGGCTCAGAAATCACGCGATCGTCCTGCCTCAGCCTCAAGGGGCTGGGACAACAGTTCTGTGCTGCTACCTATGTCCAGCTCTGGAGTCTTTTCTATGTGAGTTAGAGCCCTCCCCCCGGCTGGAGAAAAACTCAGTCCTCCGGTGGCAGCAGTGTCTAGAGTCTCGTCTTTCTCTGCTGACTCCCTGGCCTGGTAGAGGTTCAGAGCTGGGCTTGCCTGGTGGTTCCATGCAAGGTCCTGATTCCTCGAGGGCGGGGCCTTGGGCTGGGGCGCAGGCCGTGAGGAGCGCAGGTGGTGGTACAGAAGGGAGCCTGACCACTTTTTTTTTGTCTTTTTCATTTTTACCGGTACCGGGGATCGAACTCACGACTACCTGCTTGTAAGGCAGGCGCTTATGCCGCTGAGCTAAATCCTCAGCCCCAGCCACTTTTTATAAAAGCAGTTTCACATCTATCCAGCAGAGGGGATGCCTGGAGGCTAGAGACCGGAGGTTGGTTTTTTGTTGCTATTATTATTATTGTTGTTGTTTTGTTTTGTTGAGACAAGGTCTCACTATGTAGCCCAGGTGCTCTCAATCTCGCAGTGATCCTCCTGCCTCAGCCTCCTGAGTGCTAGGATTACAGGCATGTGCCACCATGTCTGGTTTGTTCACTCTTCTTACACAGTTCCTGGCACAGGGTGGGTGCTTGCTGCTATGTATCTGTTGACTAATGAACGCTCTTGTTTTAATAGCTAAGATCTCAGGGCTCCTACACAATACACTTGCCTCCTTCTCCAAGTTTGTGTAGGGATTTTTTCACCCTCCGGCCCTTCTCTCTCCCAGATGGGCCTTGACTCTTTGGGACCACAAACTTGAGCTTTGCCACCCCTCTATCTGACCTGTGCATGCCTGAACCTTGACCATGCTGTTTGCCCTGTGGGGAGCGCCTTTCTTCCAAGCCCCTGCCTGGTGAACTCCTATACATCCCTTAAGGCCCTAGCACTCTGTGCCCATGCTTATCTCAGAAGCCATCGTCCTGGGCTGTAACCGCGTGCTCGCGTGCTATGGTTACCTTTGAAAAATGATGCGCTCTTAGCGTCACTGACCCTTTGTATGCTGGGCCGGGTTACAGGGGAGGGAGCCCAGGGATTGATCTCTGCACTGCCCCGGAGCAGGCTCTAGAGGGCAACCTCGCGCCGCTCGCGGCTTCCCCAACTCCGGCCAGTTTTTCCTCACCCTAGCTGCCTGGGATGGATGGGTGGGTGGGTGGATGGATGCACCGAGTGGCTGTCTGTCCAGGGTCCAGGTGGCTCTGGAGTTGGCAGGCTCAGAGACAGGGGTATCTAATCAAGCACATTTAGGTGACACAACTCCCTCACCTCTCAGGACCCACAGTCTAGGATTAAACCTAGGAAACATTTTTTGATTTCTAAGTGAAGAAAAAAACATTGTACAGGCAGTGGTGCACGCCTGTAATCCCAGCACGCAGGAGGCTGAGGCAGGAGGATTGCTGGGAATTGGAGGCCAGCCTGAACTACTGTGTGCGACTCGTCTTCAAAGTAAAACAAGACAGAACCGAACAGCAGTGTGGAATGGAATAATCATTTAAATAAATAATTTCAAAACAAAATATCAGCTCATCCCTGGTATCTCTACTTGGAGCAGGTTATTATACAAACTGCGTCTCACTGGGAGGTGAAGGCGTGAATCCTGTGCACCCAGCCCAGATTGCCAAGGTGGCCACTAGAGTCCCCAGGGTCCGAGAGGAGGGGGGCGGAACCCAGGGAGAAGCCGGCCACACAGTCCTGGCCTGGTGCGGGTGGCTGGTGATGCGTGGGGCAAGGAGTGTCCCCAGGCTGTGTCCCCTCTTTCCATCCCCCTCCTCCTGCAGGGCCAGGCCTGTCTGAGCCAGAAGAATGACCTTGTCTGCCATGACCTCAGGGTGCTGCAGGCTGCCATTCCAGAAATGGACCCTGAGTCCAAGTCCCAGCAGCCAGGGGCTCGGAGAGGCTGACAGCCCCACGGGCATCGGGGAGGAGGCTGTCTTTTGAGTAAGAAACTAGGAGAAGGGGGTGGCTTGTCATTCTGGATTTAGGAGGCCGAGGCAGGAGGGTTGCTGAGAGTTCAAAGTTAGCTTGGGCTACACAGGGGAGACTCTGCCTCAAAACACAAAGCAAGAAGAAATACAGAGCAGAGCAAAAAGAAAAGCCTGCAGCTGGAAGGGAAGGAGGGTGAGTATCAGGGGCATCAAGGCAGAGAGTCCCCCAGGGTCCACACAGCACCACTCAGTGCAGGGACAGCGTCCTGGGTGCAGAGCTGGAAGCCGTGGGGCCCTGCCAGCCGTGTGACCAGTGAAGGCATCTCTGTGCGTCCAGGGAGCTGGAGGGGCAGGTGCAGCAGCTTGAGGGGCAGTGGTCAGGGAGTGGACACAGTCTTCTGGGGAGGAGGAGGCTGGGAATTTGGTTTTTTTTTTTTTTTTTGCCGTAGTGGGGATTGAGCCCCGGGCTTTGAGTGTGCTGGGGAGCACTTATTGAACCATGCCCCTAAACTTTTTATATTTTGTTTGTTGAGTTCCCGATGGCCTTGAACTTGCTAGCCTAAACTGTCCTTGAACTTGTGTTGAGCCACCTGCTTCAGCCTCCTGAGTCCTGAGTTCTACAGACGTGCATTACCATGCTTGGTTTATTTTTTGAAACAGGTCTTGCAAAGTTGTCTAGGGTACCCTCCAACTTGTGAGCCTCCTGCCTCAGCCTTCTGTGCAGCCGGGATCATAGCCTGTTTGGATTTTTGTAACAGGGTCTCCTATATAATGCAGGCTGGCCTTGAACTCACAGTGATCCTCCTGCCTCAGCCTCCCAAGTGCTGGTATTACACTGTGCACCAACACACCAGCTTGTTTTTTTGAGACAGTCTTGCTATATGACCCAGGCCGCCTTTGAATTCCCAGAGAGCCTCCTGCCTCAGCCTTTCAAGTGTTGGGATTAACAGGCCTATACTACCACACCCACCATTAGACACATTCCGAAGCATCAGATTCCATGTGAATGCAGAGATACCTGGGTATTCATGCTTTTGGCTGAAGAGGACCTGGGCTGCTGTGACCCTGAGCAGCTGGCCGGGCATCTCTGGGTTTCATCTCCAGGTGGAGTCTGGTTTGCCCCACCCCCAATACTGGCTGCATCTGTCTGGCCAATCAGCTCATCTGTCCTTGTTGCTAGGAGACCGGGTCTGTGTAGGTCAGGGCACCTGGCAGGCTGCTCTGGGGACATCCAGCCGGCTTCCCTGGAGCAAGGCTGGGAAGAGGCGACAGCTGCTTTGGGTCTGTGTTCACCAAAGGCCATGCCAAACCCCCCTTTTCTAACGTTATTCCCTTATTTGGGGTTTTTGAGGCAGGGTTTCACTACGTAGCCCAGACTCACAGCGATCCTCCTGCCTCAGCCTCTCCAGTGGTGGGATCACAGGTGAGCTACTAGCACGCCCACCTTTTTCTGGTTCTATCTGGTTTTCTGCCACACTTGCATGTGCCAGAGTAACTAGCCCTGCTCATCACGTAGCTGTGCTCAGAAGGGCAGACAGCACCTCACAGGCCGAGGCAAGTGGGCCTGTCGGCCGACACCTGTCATCCCAGCGCCAGGAGGCTGAGGCAGGAAGACTAAAGTTCAAGGGCAGCCTGAGCTAGAAGGTGAGATTGAGGTCACCCTGAGACCCTGACCTTTCCAAGGAAAACCAAATAAAACAACACAAAAGCCTGGATGGTACGATGCAGTGGGAGGGAAAGCTGCTTCGAGGAAGTCAGGCAGCTGTAGACCCCCCACTGCGGTGTGGCTGACCGGTGACAGGTGACCCCGGTGGTCCCGGGCAGCAGGGCGTGGGGGTGGGGAACCACTAGGCAAGGGAGTAGCAGGAGCAGGCACCTGGCACCGAGCCCAGGCCTGTTCCCGTTTGCTCAGGCCCCAGGGGTCGGAGTGGAATTACTTCCTTATAGGCGGCAGACAAATCTGACAGGCTGCCTGGACCCTGCCACCTGCTTGCAAGGTGGGGCCCTGGTCTCCTTGGCTGGAGCGCCTGACCCCGCCCCAGCCTAAGTGTGGGACATTCTTTGAAACAGCTGAAACAGGGTGAAGGGGACTCGCTGCGGGGGCTGCCATCCCACGATCCTGCTGCTGAATCCACCAACTGAAAATAAAAGACCACATACAAAGACGGGGTGGTGGCACACCTGTAATCCCGGCACCTGAGAGGCTGAGACAGGAGGGTGGCCTGGTGCAGGGCCAGTGTGACACAGTGAGACCCTGTCTCTCAGAGCCAGTGCTCCTACCCTCGTGACCAAATAAAGCATCACAGCCGGCTAGCTCGGGCCCCAGGCCCCTGAAGTTTTTATTCCCAGCATTAGATTAACAACGTCTCCTGCATTCATGTCCCAGGTGGCAGCCCCCAAGCTGAAACCCACCTAAGTTTCTAGTGACTCCTGGGGAACCACCCGGCCTGACAGTGTGGCCCAGGTGCAGAAGCTCGCACAGCGACCAGCGAGCAGAGGGGTTCGGGGACCGGGCGCTTCCCACCCAGGGGTTGGGACCAAGTCACAAAATCCAGGAGAAATCTTTGGTATCTGGACATCTGGGCCCTCCATGGCGCCTTCTGGACCTGCTTTCTGGCCTTGGCTGGAGAAGAGGCAGAGGAGAAAGAGCAGGAGGAGGAGAGGGAGAGGTGGAGGTGGGTCCTGGGGTCCTGAGGCCCCCAGCGCCCCCAGCTCGTGCAGGGCCAAAGCCTGGGTACGCACACTTGAGTTGACCTTGGCTGGCAGAGAACCTGGGAGAGGGATTCTCAGTGCCCCTGGGCCTGTCCCTAGTCCTGAGGAGAAATGGGCACTGTCCCCGTGGGGCTCTGAGGACAAGCGCAGCACTGAACCCACCCGAGGCTCAGGGTGGACCCCTGTGGGTGGCGGGACCGGGCCAGGCCCGTAGAGAGGCCCTCTCCTGCTCCACACCAGCAGATCTGTGCCTGCACAGTGCGGGAGGGTGCTAGAGGGAGTGGCAGTACACGTGGTCCTCGAAGACCTGCAGCTCTGAGGCCGGGAAGACCCTTTCACAAAGTGGACAGGTCAGCTCGGGGTCCAGGGCCTGTGGCGGCTCCACGGCGTGCTGCTGGGGCGACCTGAGAGGGTTCTCCGCTGAGAGCTGACAGGAGGAACAGAGGCTGGGGTGAGCGTCAGCTCCGAGGAGCAGAGACTCGGCTGCATCCCTGGTGCCCTGGGGGAGGTGCCCGCCTATAATCCCCCTACTGAGAAGGCCGAGGCAGGAGGGTACTGCCTTCAAGTTCATCCCAGGCAATTTAACAGGACTGTCTCAATATAAATTTTTTTTTTTTGTCTTTTTCATTTTTATCAGTACCAGGGATAGAACTCACGACCGCCTGCTTGCAAGGCAGGTGCTTATGCCGCTGAGCTAAATCCCCAGCCCCTAATATAAATTTTCAAAAAAGAAGCTGGTGGTGGTGGCATCCACTTGTAATCCGGGCACTGTAGGAGACTAAGGCAGGAGGACTTAAAGTTCTAGCTCAGCCTGGGCAACTTATCAAGACTGTGCCTCAAGAAAAGAGCTAAGGACACAGCTCAGTGCAAAGGCCCTGGGTTCCACACCCAGTGAGGGGGGAAGCACCAGTGAAGCAACAGCTGCCCGCTCAAGGTGCCCCTGCTCTCTCAGGCCCCAGGGGAAGGGCACCAAGGCGCCCAGCTTAGCCTCTCCCGGCGGCTCCTCCTCGCTCCACTGCACACGGAGCTCACAGCAGGGTCCCCATGGCCGCAGGCACCTTAGGTCTGGCCTGTACCCCAGCCAGCCAGCCCGGAACTCGGCGAGCACCATTGCCGAGGCCCAGGTGCTGAGCAGGGAGGGTCTCAGCCACCCGAAGGCGCGTGGGGAAGATACTTACCAGGCCAGAGGTGGGACTCTCTTGGATACCTGAGGAGAACAGGAAAGGCTTCACTCAGTGACACAGTGCCACGCTTCACACATGCGACACACTTGCTGCTCTGTTCTGCTTTGCTGTTTTTAACAGTTTTTTTTTTTTTGTCTTTTTTCCTTTTTACCGGTACCAGGGATCGAACTCACGACTGCCTGCTTGCAAGGCAGGTGGTTACGCCGCTGAGCTAAATCCCCAGCCCCTGCTTTGCTGTTTTTGAGACAGGATCTTGGTGCATAGTCCAGGCTGGCTTCGAACTACGGGGCCCACGTTGGCCTTGCCGGGATCTTCTTGTCTCAGTCTCCTGAATGCTGCAACTCTAAGCATGCACCACTACACCTGGCCATTAACTACACTGTATTTTAAGTAAATGAATATTCTGTTAAGAATCATCTTTTAAAATTCCATTGTGATTGTTTGCTGCTAGTGTATAGTAATGCACCTGATTTTTTTTTTTTTTTTTTTTGGTCTTTTTCATTTTTATCGGTACCGGGGATCGAACTCACGACCGCCTGCTTGCAAGGCAGGTGCTTATGCTGCTGAACTAAATCCCCAGCCCTGCACCTGATTTTATATACTGATCTTTACCCAAAAGTTTAACAGACTCCTTTTTATAGCATGTTAGTATTATAGAATAGTGAAGTCTGAACTCTCATTTAGTTCAAGTTTCTTACTTTGCAGAGTGTTTGGTTTCTTTATATACAATTATCTCCCAAATAAGTGAGAAATGCCTGTGTCATTTATTCTTTGTTGACATGTTTTTATTTAAATTTTGAATTTAAAGCCAGGCATAGTGGCACATGCCTGTAATCCCAGTACTCGGGAGGCTGAGGCAGAAGGATCACCACAAAATCAAGGCCAGCCTCAGCTACATAGCAAGTCCAAGACCAGCCTGGACAGTGAGACCCTGTATAAAAACACCCAAAAAAAAGTAAGAGAAAAAAAAAGAACTTAAATTCTTTTTTTTTTTTTTTTTTTGAGCAGTTCAGGCTGGCCTTGAGCTCACTTTGCAGCCCAGGCTGGTCTTGAACTCACAATGACCCTCCCACCTCAGCCTCCAGAGTGCTGGGATTATAGGCGTGAGCCACCACGCCCAGCAGAACCTAAATTTTTAAAAATGCGGTGTCCTGGAGCTGTCAGTCGTCCTGGTGTCTCTTGAACTATTTTCACCTGCCTCTGTCCTTTCCACTTGCTAATGTGGTCATTTATGGAGCACGGAGAAACTGCAAAGACAGGGTCCCAGGCCATCCCCTGTGGCAGGACAGAGGCCGGAGCCCCACCTCTCCCCCTTTCCTCTGCCGTGGCGCTGGGTGTCAGGCCCGGGCCGAGGTTGGGCAGGCACCCGTTGCTGAGCTTTGCTGCTGGGTGTTTGCTGTCCTCGGCCATGCGCAGGCTCGCGCTGCGCTTCCTCTGTGCCCACTCAGCAGCACCAAAACCTCTGGGCTGGGGGTTCTCGGGGTGAACACCTGGGCGGCAGCCCTCTGGGGACTCTTCATGGGGGCTGTCCCTGAAAGTGGCGGTGCCCGTGGGTGCCGGGGTCCTGGCACCGTGGAGGCCCATGACCTGCCTGCTGCTGGTGACCTCTCCTTCTGGGTCCTCCGTCTCTGTCCAACTGACTGGCAGGGTGGGGAGGACACCTTGTATCCCTGCGTCACGTGGAGAGGGAGGGGAAAAGCTCCCAGTGTGACAAGGACACATTTGTTACTGCAGGGCCTGCAGGACCCTCAGAACCCCTTCCTGTCCGCCCCTCCTGCCTGGCACCTTGGCTGGGCACCGCTGCCCGCCGGGGGTCTTCCCTGCCCCTGCACTCGCGTTGCTCCTCTGTGGTGCCCATCTGACCCCGGCCGGGATGCGATCTGCCCTGCCATGGGCGAGGCTGATTTGCACTTTGGGAATCCAGATTTACTGCTCAGGTAACATGGCTGCCGGGCCCTGCTTCTCTCTGCTCCTCCACGTATGCCCAGCAGTCCTATCAATGGCACTGCACTTAACTAGCATTTTTTGGAAACGAAAGAGAAAAAGGAAACGGAGTGGGACAGGCATGGAGGGACGCAGGTGGGGCCTCTCACCAGAGTAGGGGTTCCCGTAGATGAGGACCGGCTTCTGTGGGGCGCCCTCCCAACTGGACGCAGGCACCTGAGGCAGCACGGAGTCAGAGTCCAGACCCATGTAACTGAGCAGCCTGCTGTTCTCCTTCTGCAGCAGCTGAGGGCAGAGGGTTCCAGGTGTGGTGCATGCAAGCAACAGATGGCCCCCGGGGACTGGCTGGGGACCTCAGCTAACGATGTGGCACTGTGACACCCAGCAAGTGACAATCCCTAATTCCTCAACGGCAAAGTGGCATCCTGACAGTCCGAGCTTTGAGTTGTTTCTATCAGAAGCCAAGTGTTTTTGCTGAATTTTGTTCACATTAACACAAAGAAGAATTTTAGATCGGTGTGGTGATGTGGGCCTGTAAGCTCAGCACCTAGGAGGCTGAGGCAGGAGGATCACCATTAGTTTGAGGTCAAACTGGGCTACATAGTGAGACTCTTTCTCAAAAACCAAATAAAATGAAACAAACAACAATAACAAAAAATAGTGTCTGCCTAGCAATCACAAAGTGCTGAGTTTGAGTGCCAGTACAAAAAAAAAAAAAAAATTTAATACCCCAGCTAAAGGGGGTATGCAAATATTTGGATGCAGGCGGGGGTAGCAGGAGCTCTACTGAGAACTTTTTGTTTTGTTGTTTGAGACAGAGTCTCATTATGCAGTTCAGGCTGGCCTTGAACTCACTATGTAGCTAGGCAGGCCTCATATTCAGTGACAACCCTCCTGCTTCAGCCTCCCGAATGCTGGGATAACAGGTGTGTGCCACTGAACTGTGTACTTTAAAATTATTAAGGTAACACATTTTGTGTTATGTGGGTTCCTTTAAAACCACAATTAAAAAGAAAAAGTAGACTCGATCCCTTAGACACACAGATAAGGTTACAGGAAGGGCGGAGCTAAGGACACTGCGGGGACAGATGGGAGTGGTGGTGACCAGGGAGTGGGGACACTTGGATCTCTGATGCTGAGTGGAGGTGACTTTTAAGAGCAGTTGCTTTGCTGCCTTCATCTGCAGCCAGCCATTCAGTCAGGCACCCCAACTCGGAGTGGGAGGCACCCCAGCTCGGAGCGAAAGGCACGGCACCTGTCAGGGCTGCCGTGGGCCCAGCGAGGCTGTGGTGGCCATGATGTTCCGAGCAGGAAGCCACACTTCCACCACGGCTAACCCAGCCGCCGTCTAGGGTGCGGGCCCAGGGTGGGCTTTAGGGTGCGAGAGCACAGCAGACTCCATTTATGCTTCCCCACTCCCTGCCCAGGGCCCTTCTTCAGCTCCCATTTTACCCCGTGGCCCAGGCTCCTGCTCTCCCCGAATACCTACCTCATTCCCTCTCTCCATCTGCTCCTTCTCCGCTCGCAGGTGGTCACACAGAATCTTACTCTCACCCAGACGTCTGGACAGGTCTAAGTTCTCGTCCTGCCAACAATGAAAGCACAGTATGAGCATCACCCACTGCGGGCCAGGACAGGGCTGCTGGGGTCGGGAGGACAGGAGATGGGTTGGCACCGTGGTGCCATGGCAGGGGTGCTGCTCGCAGACGCAAAGGACTCCACTGAGTGCCTGGCCTGGCTTTCAGGTGCAGGGTTTCTGTTGTTGCTTAGCAGCAAGCAGAAGGGATGGAAGGCAGGAGACAGGGCCAGTTTGGGGAACCCCTCAGAGCACCAATATCAGGTGGATGGAGCCTCACTGGACCCCACCCAACCTTGGAAACCCCCAGTTTGCTGTGAACCAACACCTTGCTCACTCTGCAGCCCGCAGCTCTAGGCTTGGTGGTGTAGCCCCTCCAGGAAGGGCAGGATCTGGGCTACATCTCAGTGAGGACAAAGGGCCTTCAGGGAACCTGCCTACGGTGTTTGGGCCCCAGGGTGTGTGCATGTGTCCCCAAGACCCCAACCTGCGCACGCACACACTTAAGCTAATCCTACTGGTGAGCTTTGGTTCCAGGAGTTTTTATTGAATGCTGGAGCCCAGGCTGCCGTGTACTGCCCAAGGACCCTGAGGCAGCGACATTGGCCAGGGGCTACTTGACACCTGTGCTGCCAGCGGGCTCCTGGTGCCCCATCCCCGCTGGCTGCTGCTGGCTCTTCCGCTTCTGTGCAACCTCCTCTTCCTCATAAAGCAGAAATAGAAAGAGCTGAAATCAGGCATGGTGGTGCACCCCTGCAATCCTGGCACCAGGGAGGCTGAGGTGGGAGGACTGCTGCAAGTTCAAGGCTAGCCTGGGCTACAGAGTGAACTCAAGGCCACAAAGCCAGCCTGAACTGCATAAACTACATAGTAAGACCCTGTCCCAAAAAGACCACAAAAAAAAAAAAGGGCTGGGGCTAGAGATTTAGCAGGCACGACGTCATGAGTTTGATCCCTGGTAGCAAAGGCAAGAAAGGGCTGTATCTGCACAGATCTACCAGCGATCACGGTCCTCCACTAGGTGCCAGGGCCGGGGACCCCCACACCAGTCTCGGGGCTTACAGGGGCCTTCCCTCTGTTTCAGCAGGAAGGTTAAGTTTCTCTCCCCAACAGGGTTTGGGCCTCCTGGGCCGGGCCTCAGCACCGCAGACCTTGGCGCCCCCTTCCCGGCCAGTATGGGCTGTCACCTACCGGTGTGGCCGCCCGCAGCTGCCGGATCTGTCTGTGCAGCCGGCGGCACTCCTTGTACTTCTCTAGGAGGCAGGCCTTGCCCGCCTCCACCTGGGCCTGCAGCCGCGCCACCTCTTGCACTAACTGCGCCTCCACAGCCTTCGCCCTCCCAGGATCCTGAAGTGACACGCGGGCCTCATGTTAGGGCCCTGGGGAGCCGCTGCTGCACGCGGGCTCCCGCAGAAGGGACCTGGGGCCTGTGGTCCCAGGAGACAGAGGGGACAGGGGACAAGCAGGAAGCCAGGAGCGGTCCCGGCACGGCGAGCGTCATGCTGTCATGCCGTCACACGCTGCAGTCAGGCACCCGGGAAAACAGGGACAGAGAAAGAAAATTCAGGGCCCCGGACGGAGCAGCTGCGCACCTCTGAGTGGCTATAGATTAAAGCTCATTTCTTTGCAACCCAAGGGGCCAGGCGGGCAGTGAGCTGGACGCGGGAGAGCAGGGAAGATGGGACTGGGGACGTCACTCAGGGTGAGGGTTCAAGACCACGGCCACCACTCAGTCCCGAGTCCTGTGGCTGGGCAGGAAGGCAGGCTCGGTGCCAAGGAAGCCTCTGAGTTTTCACTAGGAGCCAGAGATACAAAAGCTCTCTGGGAAATGTTCTCATCTTCAATTGTTGGTCACTAAGTTTCTAAAGAAAGCACCACGCAGGCCAAGGAGAGCATTTTGTGGGCTAAACACCCAAGCCGCCGGCTCTGTAAACCCTGTTTTCTTCTGGCGCAGCAGAAAACATCGCGCATGTGCAGTTCTTCATGTGCGCCATCTCCACAGTGCGCCTGCGCAGGCTTCCACCAGGCCGGCCAGGCAGGAAAACCACACAGTGACGTGAGCTGCGCGTCAACCACAGGGGAGCCTCCCACGGCAAGGTTGCTTTTTTTTTTTTTTTTTTTGTCTTTTTTGAGCCGAGGTCTCGCTATGCAGTTCAGGCTGGCCTTGAGCTAATTTTGTAGCCCAGGCTGGTCTCAAACTCGAAATGATCCTCCTAACTCAGCCTCCCAAGTGCTGGGATTACAGGCGTGAGCCACCACGCCCAGCATGGCAAGGTTTCTTGTCATCTCACTTCACAGCAGGAAAGAGAGCTACCAGATGCCATCAGCATCATGAGGTCTCTCTTTCTTTTTGAGACAGGGTTTTGCTCTGCAGTTCAGCTGGCCTCGAGCTCACTTTATAACCCAGGCTGGTCTAGAACTTGCAAAGATTCTCCTGCCTCAGCCTCCCAAGTGTTGGGATGACTGGCATACGCCACCATGCCCTGCAAGGCCTCAACAGTGTATTACAGGAAATCCTCAGTCCCATAGACTCTCCTTACTCCAGCCCTGAAGCTCAGAATGATCTGCGGTGGTGCGAAGATAGTGATGGTCCCAGGGCTGGCTCTGAGGGCAGCAGGTGCTCTTGGCTGCCCGAGGTGATGCTACTGGAGGGAATGGGTCATTCTCTGCGATTTCAGGCCTAGGCCCCCTGGGAATGTCCTGTCCTTTACCTTCCAGTAGCCCCTGTCCAGAGCCCCTTCCTAAGGATCTCTGTCGTTTTGGGGATACAGCAGAAAGCCAGCTGGTCCCACTTCTCCCTCCCTCCCAGCCACACGGACGTGCCATCAAGTCTGCCTGCGTCTTCACTGCCGCCGTTTCTCTCAGCTTCATCTCCTCCACCATCTGCTCGAGCTTCCGCTGCTGCTCCCTCTGCACAGAAGACAAGAGGCCAGTGTCGCCGCTGAGAAATGCCACATACACGGTTTGCACACACACGCCCACAGGCATGCATGCAGTAGGGAGCGCTGGAGGGGAGAGGCTGCCTCCCAGCCGCTGGGTGGCTCCCTGGCAACCTCACCCAGGCCCCCAGGCTGCGATGCAGCAAGAGCAGAGGAGACCTTGGGAACCTGGAGATCATTATCTTGCCCCCATGAGGCTACCTGTTCGGTTAGGCTGAGACGGAGCTGGTCATTTCCTTTGGTCAAACGCTGCAGCTGCTCTGTCTTTTCCTGGTCTTCCCGGATCAGCTTCTCCATTGCTCTTTCTTGGTTTAGCAGCTGGGACTGAAGCGAAAACAGTGAATCACCGAGACACAACAGGAGACTGGCCGGGCTGGAGCAGGAAAATCACTGTGCGTCTGAGGCCAGCCCGGACTACAGAGTGAGACCATCTCTACAAAAGCCCAAAATGAAATAAAACATCGAGCAAGGCAGCCCCCTGGTCCACACCGGAAAACACACGTGACCAGAAGCTTCCGTCTGAGCCCTGGGCAGGCACCGCAGGAGATGCATCTCGGGTTAGAGGGGCAAGGTGAGAAGGTACCCACAGGCAAAGGTGCGGCGTCACCTACCTGCAGCTCCACCACTCTGGCTCCCAGCTGCTCATTTTCCGAGCGCATCTTCTGGTCCTGTTCTTTTAGTCTGCAGTGGGGACAGAGGTGGGAGACCAGACCAGGAGGCGTGAGAGAAGTCTGCACACTGCCTGTCCCATCCCAGCCCTAACCCTGTAGCGCTGACCACGCCCTCGGACCCCCGAGCAGGAAGTGCTTGCTTGCTTGCTTGCTTGCTTGCTTTCTTATCTTTTTCCTTTTTATCAGTACCAGGGATTGAACTCACGACTGCTCGCTTGCAAGGCAGGCGCTTATGCCACTGAGCTAAATCCCCAGCCCCAGGAAGTGCTTTAGACAAGCTGTCTGCAGAGGGGCACCCCAGCCCGCTCGGCTGCACACTCACTGAAGTTGCTCCACATCCCAGTGGGCCTTCTGTGCTTCTGCCTCCTGCTCCAACTTCTTAGTGATGCCCTGCAGAGCTTCTAGTTCCTCCTGTAAGTTGAAACACCATTAAGAGAATGGACTGCTTCTAAGACACATTTTATTTGGGGACAGGATCTCATGTATGTGGTTCAGGCTGGCCTTTAATTCCTAGAGAGCCTTCTGCCTCGGTCTCCTGAGTGCTGGGATTATGGCGTCTACCCTGACACCCAGCTTCTAAAATACATCTTGTATTTGAGGCATGTGCTCCCTTTGTAGCACATATACTAAAAAAGTATTTAATACAGACTGCAAACATTTTCTGGGGGCGCTTTTGGAAGCAGGTCTTGCTATGTAGTTGAAGCTGGCCTTGAACTTAAAGTGTAACCCAGGCTGGCCTCCAGTTCATGGTGATCCTCCTGCCTCAGCCTGTCAAATACTAGGTTTACAGGCTTGCATCACCACAACCAGCTCGAGCCAATGGAATTTACTGCCCACTTACCATACGTCACAGCATACCTGTAGTCCCAGCACCTGGGAGGCTGAGGCAGGAGGATAACGCAAGCTCAAGACCAACCTGGGCTACAAAGTAAGCTCAAGACTGAATTGCATATCAAGACCTTGTCTTAAAAAGACCCAAAAAAGGTCATCTACCTCAATTTCATTTTTGTAATTCATATTTGTCCTTTAAGTTATTAAACAAGCATTTTACTGAGTTCCTGATCCATACCAGATAGGTTTCTGCAATGAACAAAACAGATAAAGTTGCTTTGCTTCCAGAACTGTGTTGTCCTACAAATGACTAAAAGTCCCATAAAAATTTTAGTAGCCACATTAAAAATTTAAAAACGGGTGGCGCGAGTTTGAATCTTGGTGTATTCAGCCCAGTGGAGCTAAAGCTTTATCTCAACCTGGGGCAACACAGGACACAGAGCATCTTCTCCTCTGCCCGAGGTGAGGTGCACTGTGCATTTCAGGGGCACAGCAGCCATGTGCGCCCCACTGGCCTTCGCGCTGCCCCTAGATATTTGTTTGTTTTCTCTTTAGCTTCCTTTTGGACTAAAGTAAACTGTGGATGTCGAGTCTCACCATGTGGTTCAAGCTGCACTCTTCTGCCTCAGCCTCTGAGTGCTGGGCTTATGGGGATGCACTGCCATGCCTGGGAGCCTACCTTTAGTATTAAGTTTTTCAAATGTCTTCTTTATAGTCACTGGAGAGGGAAAAAAAACTTCTTTCACTTGCCTTTTGATATTATCAGCCCTCATTCACTGCTGATTTGGAGCACAATTCAAAAGAGGAGCAAAAAAACACCTGGACATCATGACGTCACTTCAATACTAAGGCCTTGGTCTCCGGTGTCCACACGGCAGCTAAGCCAGGGAAGGACTCAAATAATAAACGGGCAGCGGGATTATTCAGCACTTTGGAGTCAGCCTGACAGTCACCTGCAGTTGGAAGGTCCCTTTCTATTCTGTCTCTTCCTCTTTAGTTTGCATTGCTGGGGATCAGGGTGCTGCATGCTGGAGATGCACTGGCCCTGAGCTTCCGGCCCAGGGACAGGAGTCCTTGCCGCAAGCCTGCTCAGACCAGGACACCCGGGGGACAAGCGACAGAGGACCGCTGGGGACAGTGCGGCCGCACCTGCTTCTGCCGCAGCTCAGCCTGTGCTGCCGAGCTCTGCTCCTCCAGGCGGGCGCAGCGGGCCTTCAGCTCCTGGTTCTCCTGGAGAAGCTGCTGGTTGTGCTCCTCAGTCTCCTCCACCTTCACCTGCAAAAGAACACCCCGTGAACGTGCAGACTCCCCTCAGGGAAGGGCCCTCCACCCCATGCTGGGCACAGTGGGGCACACATCCCTGTCACAGCAGCATGGGGGGGCGGGTCGTAAGCTCGAGGCCAGCCTGGGCTACACAGTGACACTGTTTCAAAACTGACCCCGCCCCCAGAAAAGCCCCATATGCCAGGTGGCTGGGGACTCAAGGCCTCCCACTTTCTAGATCCCTGTGACCCAGATGCAGGGGCAGGGGCAGCGGAGGGGCTGTGGTGGAGGTGCAGCCCCACTGGTACTGCTGGGCAAAGCAGAAACCACATCCACAACGTGAGGATCCTCCCTCAGATGCTTAGTGCCACTTGTCTCTCACAGCACTGGGCTCTGAGGACGGCAGTGTCTAATATGTTTGTTGTTTTTCAGACAGAGTTGCGCTATGTAGCCTGGGCTGGCCTTGAACTCACCAACATCCTCCTGCCTCAGCCTCCAGAGTGCTGGGGTGACAGGTGTGCACTGCTACATCCCGTTAGACCGATTTTTCCAGCAGCCCCACTACCTGCCCCAGTGTGGAATGAAAAGTTGTCATCGCTAAAGGAGGAAGGAAGTGGGCCTGACACCCTGCTGTGACAGGATCTGGGTCACAACTTAGAGCCAAAAATACCGAATGCTTCTCTCTCCAGCAGCTTTCTGTTGGTCTCACTGTTGCCGGGAGATGGTTTTGTTTTGCTGTGGGTTACACTAGGTTGCCCAGGCTGGTCTCAAACTCATGAGCTCCAGTGATCTGCCCATCTCAGCTGCCCGGGAGCTGAGACGACAGGTATGTGGCACCAACACAGCCCCACAGAGCTCTTCTGTCACAGTGGTGGTCAGATACTTGGAGGACAGAAATTCACCCAGGACAGGGAAGGCAAGAGCTGAGTGCCCAGTGAGCTGCAGCAGTGCTCGGGAAGGGCAAGAGCCTCTCTGCTAGGGTCTCCGTGCTGTGCTGGTCTCTGTCCTCAGATATCTGACTGAGCCACAGCCCCACCCCAGCAGCAGGAAGGGCTTGAGACAGACAACTCCAGACCTTGGTGGTGACAACCAGGATGTCGTCCTCACTTTCTGGACGGAACTGGAAAGGGACGCTTGCTCCCCGGACCACGCCATCTTGGTCCACATAGCAGAACTGGTAATACTCATCATCCTTGGGCAGGTAGTAAGCTGACGACACACAGAGTGTATTTCAGAATAAGAACTCTTCCCAAAACGTTTTCGCTGCCCCAGAGAGCCTGGGCTCAGAGAGTTGCCCAGCCTGGCCGAGGTCTCCACACCTTCAGAACAGGCTTTCTCACCTTTGAACTGGACTTCCTGCTGCTTGGCCACATCGGTGCCCGTGTCGCTGGGCAGAGCCACCCACATGAAGGTGTAGTACTCCCGGGTTGTCTTCCAGCCCACCTGCAAGGACAGCAGTGCTGGGGCTGACGCTGCAGAGGGATCCATCTAGGCTATGGCTCCCTAGAACACACTTCCCTTATTTGCTTGTGTTGGAAATACAGGCTGGGCATGGGGGCACACGCCTGTAATCTCACCACTCGGGAAGGCTGAGGCAGGCTACTGCTGTGAGCTGGCCTGAGCTGCATAGTGAGTTCAAGGCCAGCATGAACTACAGAGTAAAGTCCTGTCTCAAAAGAAAAACTGAGGCCCACATGCAGTTAAAAACACCAATTTAGAAGCTTTAGAGAAAAACCAAGTCAGAAATACTTTTTTAGCTAACTAGAGAAATGGTGACCACAATGAGAGAACAGCTTAGTGACTCTTGAGCAGATTAGGAAAGGGATGGAAACTATGGATACCCAACATAGGAAAGAAATGGAACCCACGGAACATTCAGACAGCCATCCAGGAGGTTAAAAAATCCCACAGCAGAATGAGCCAGTGTGAGGACAGAATGTCAGATACAGAAAATCCAGCAGCTCCTAGATGATGCAAAGAAGAATAACATAATTTGATTGGACTCAATGAAAAAGCAGGAGATAGCGTAAATGACATTAAAAAAACTGTTCACAGAAATCATGACAGAAAACTTCCCTGATAGGGATAAAGAATTTGACATATAAGTAAGGGAGGCATATAGAACTCCAATGAGCCATGACCAAAAATATTCTACAGCCAGGCATATAATAGTCAAGGTCTCAGAAATTCAACACAAGAACAGAACATTAAAAGCAGTTAGATTTGGCCAGAGATTTAGCTCAGCAGCACAAGTGCCTGGCTGGCAAGCCTGAGGTCATGAGTCTGATCCCTGGTACAAAAAAAAAAAGAAAGAAAATATTAGAGCACCTGAAGAAATTCATGGTCACTAAACCAGCACTCCAAAATGTCCTGAAGAGCATTCTAGAGAGAGATAACAAGGACCTCACACTCCATGAACCCCAACAGAATGAATCCATCAGGCAAGGCAAGCCATTAAACAGAGGGGGAGAAAAGGAGAACCAACAACAGGAAAACAACATAACAAAGATAAGTCAGTACATATCATTTATAACCATCAGTGTAAATAGCCTCAATTCTCCAATCAAAAGACACAGACTGGCAGAATGGATCACGAAGCAAGATCCAACAGTATGCTGCATACAAGAAACATTTAATTAAAGAAAAAATTTCAAAGACTGAAAGTCAAAGGATGGAAAACAATACTACATGCAACAGGAACCCAGAAAAAATGGGGCAGCTGTTCTATTTGGAGACAAAGTCAATTTCAAGCCTGAGGAGTCAAGAGAGACTAAGAGAGTCACTACATCCTTGTTAAGGGAACAATACAAGTGGAAGAGATAACAATCAAACATATACATGCACCAAATCACAGCACACCCAACTAAATAAAACAAATATTAATGGACATGAAAAATCAAAGCACTTTGATACATTGGGTCAACTTGAGTTTAGAAGTTTAAGGAAGTGACTCAGCAGGGGTCCAGGGGTCTCACTTTGTAAACATCCTCAGCCTGTGCAAGAGGGCAGGGAGACGGTGTGAGGGCAACCCCCCCCCCCCCACACACACAATATAAGGGAGAAAACCAGGCTTGTTCCCTCTCTTTTTGCTCTGGTTGCTTTTGCTGTCGTCTGCCACCTTGAAGGGTTGCCCCCTTTTCACACCACCCTGCCTTGGAGCCAGCTGATTACAGACTGAAACCTCCACAAACTGTGAGCTAAATAAACCTTGCCTTCCTTAATTTTGGGTGTCTGGTATTTTGTCTCAGCAAGGAGAGAAAAGCAACCAAGACACACTAATACAACTGTCATGAGGGAACTCAGTACCACACTGTCACAGAGATAGATTAATTAGAAAAATAATCAACAATGAAATATTAGAACTGAATCAAACCTGTGAGCAAATGGACCTAGTAGACGGCTACAGACTTCCACCCCACAGTGTTAGAATACATATTCTTCTCACTTGCACATGGGATATTCTCCAAAACAGGCCTCATACTAACTCACAGAACATGCTAAAGTAAAAATGCAAAGAACTGAAATTACCCCATATACACACTATCAGACCACAGCACAATGAAACTGGAAATCAATGGCAAAAGAAACCACAAAACTTCATAAACACGTGAAAATTAAATAGCACCCTCCCGAATAGCCAATGGGTCACAGATGATATTAAAGAAGAAACTATATTTTTTCTACAATTAAACACCAATGTCAGTACAACATACTGAAACCTCTTTACAGGAAAAAAAAATAGCTTCTTCAGTCAATGATGCTGGGAGGTGGGTGTGATGGTGCATGCAAGCAATTCCAGCACTTTGGGAGGCTGAGCTAGGAGGACTGCTGCAAATTCAGGGTTAGCCTGGGCTACACAGTGAGTTTAAAACCACTCTAAATTACAGAGCAAGACTCTATCTCAAAAAAAAAAATCATAAATAAAAACTGCAGAAAACCTGATTTCTTTTTTTTTTTTTTTCCTTTTTATTGGTACTGGGGATTGAATTCACAACTGCCTGCTTGCAAGGCAGGTGCTTATGCCACTGAGCTAAATCTCCAGTCCCAGAAAACCTGATTTCTACAAGTTAAAAACTAGAACTAGACCCAATGTCTATCACCATATACTAAACTAAAATCAAAATAAATCAAAGATCTAAATATTAAAACAGAAACACTAAATCTGCTAGAAGAGAGACTAGATAGAACTCTTGAAGACACTGGTATAGGCAAACATTTTTTGAACATAATCTCAATTGCATGGAAAACATCACAAAGAATCAACAACTGAGATGTCATCTTATTAAAAAGCTTTTACACAGGAAAAGAAATCATCAGCAGACAATGCACTGATGGGGAAAAATTTCTGCCAGCTATTCCTCAAAGGACTAATATCTATAACATACAAAGAAGGGAAAAACTGAGACCTTCCCCCAAAATTTAAAGACTCAATCCAAAATACAGGCATCTGATATGAATAGATTTTTCAGATGAAGAAGCATCAACAACAAATAAATATGAAAAAAATGTTCAACATTGCTGGCTGAGAGATGCAAATTAAAACAAGGCTGAAATTCTATCTCACTACGTAAAAGATGGCTATTGTCAAGAAATCAACCAGTAATAAATGCTGGTGGGGCTGTGGGGAAAGAGGACCCCTTCTCCACTGTTGAGGGGAGTGTAGACTGGTGCAACCAATGTGGAGACTCCTCAAAAATCTAGGGAGTATAAGTACCATTTGACCCAGTTAATTACCTCAGTTGGTATCTTTCCAAAAGACTTAAAAGTACCACATCACAGTGACACATGCATACCCATGTTTATAGCAGCACAGTTTGTAATAGCTAAATCTTGGGACCAGCCCAAATACTCATCAACTGGTGAATGGATAAAGATCTGTTTTATTAATAGAATGGAGTACTACTCAACCATAAAGAAGGAAAAGCTTGAGACATTTATAGCTAAATGGACCTTGAGACCATATTCTTAAGTGAAATAAATCAGACAAAGATGTTTAAATACCACATTGGCAGATTGTGAAACTGAAAGTATAAATAAGAACCAGAATGTATAATAGAAATTGTGAAAAAGAAACTATTCAAAACAAAAAGAGAGTTAAGGGAGGAATAAGGGGAAAGGAAGAGAAAATAAAAAATGAGAAAAAAAAATGGAAATAAAGCTTTGTAAATAAGCAGGAGAAGAGGGGTTGGAGAGAGGGGAGGGGAATGGGGAAAAAAGCAATCGACATACCATGTACAGGGTCAAATCCCCGATGATGATTGTGATCAGTATGTGCATCTAGATCATACCAATAAACTCAATTTTAAAAAATAAATAAAACTAGCTCTTTAAACCCTGGATACAAACTCCAAATTTTCCCAGCAAGTCAGATGCAGTGACTGGCTGACACATTCCCAGCTTGTGAACCTCGATCTGCCTCCTCTTACACTGCTTTCTCAGCTGGAAAACACTTCTCACCTGCCCTCTCCGCTGCTCTGTCCTCCACTGTGTCCCATTCAGCCTTGTCATGTATGACCCAGTCTACTGCATTTTTTTATTTAGTTATTTTTTTGAGACAGGGTCTCACTTTGTACTTCAAGCTGGCCTTGAACTCACTATGTAGTCTAGGCTGGATTTGAACTTGGTGATCCTCCTGCCTCAGCCTCCCAAATGCTAGGACTACAGGCAGGTGCCAGCATGGCTGGCTATACTAACTGTATTTTAAAAATCCATTCTTAGCGAGGCTTAATGGAGGCTGTGGCAGGAAAAGGCAAGTTCAAGACCAGCTGAGCAACTTAGAGACCTTATGAGTTTTTGTCTCAACAAGCAGTTAACAGAAACGGTTTAGGGCTTGGGGATATAGCTAAGCAGCACAGCACCCACCAGATGAGCCTGTCGTGGAGACTCAAGCCTGTAAGCCCAGCACTCCGGAGGCTGAGGCAGGAGGATGGCTCTGAGTTCGAGGTCAGCTTGGGCTACACAGTGCGTTCAAAGCCAGCCTGCACTACATATCGAGACGCTGTCTCAAAGAAAACAAACAAACAACCCAAATCAAGAAAAAAAAAAAAAAAAAAAACCCCAAAAAACCCACAACTGGCCAGACGTCATTCACAAAGCACCCACGACTCGCGCCCACTTTGCAGCTGCAGGACGCTCATCACTCACTCTGAAAATGCCAATCCAGTCCTTTCGACGCGGGCTGAACTGCTGGGTGAAGACGTAGTGGCAGGTGACGTCGGCGCCGGGTACGTAGAACTTGTCCACGCTGTTGAAGACGACCTGCGAGAAGCTGGTGCGGTCCAGCAGCACTGCTGCCGATGCGAGGTCTTCCACTTCCGCCTTCTCCATGGCCGGCCTGGCGGGGACGGAACGCAGCACGGCTCAAAAAGGATCCCGCACGCCCAGCTTCTGGGCTCTCACCCAAGAACATTCTGTTCCAGGGGATCGGGAGCAGCTTATTTTCTGTTTCCATCTGAGCAGTTCGCATTCCTGACTACCTATTTCCGGAGCCCAGGGGCACCGGCACTGCCTCACACACACACTCCTGACCTCTGCACACAGCTGGGTTGTTTTACCTTCCTCTTTAAAAAAATAGTGTCGGAGAAAAAAAAAAAACCCTAGCTGGGAAGTTGTGAGGCCGAGATCTACGGTTTGCATCCCAACAGGCCTGCTTCCGGCTGCCCCACTCAACTGCTTTTTTCCTGCAATGGCCCTTCCATTCTGGAGGCTCATGGTAGGAGCTGAAGGTGGGATTCAGAATAAAGAAGACACAGTGGCCACACGAGGGTGACATTTAAATCCCAATTTCCCCACTGAGTGTTTTAAAGCCATGGCATTGGGCAGCGAATAACTACATAGCCCAGGCTGGAATTAACCTTGCTGGGATTCTATTGCCTCAGCCTTCTGTGTGCTGGGCGTAAGGCATGCCCTGACTTGGGAGAAATTCTTGGGACTGAATCCTGCACCTCACACGTGCCAGGCAGGCGTTAGGTCTGCCTCTTAGCTGGACAGCCCTGCAGAAATGACTGCTTCAGGGTCCTCTTTTCTTAAACAGGGTGAGATTATGACCACTAGGTACAGCCATAGTCCCTGGTCTGACTGGTTTGCCTGGTTCAAGGGGCACCATGCCAAACCCCAAAAAGGCAGGAATGATTCCTGTGGGAGCCGTCACTTCCACACTGCATTCCTGCCTTCTGCAGCTGAACTTCCAGCAAGTTGCCTTGTGAGCAGTTGCTGCTCTGAAAGGCTAGCCCGGCCTCTGGGTTCTTAGGGGGAAAAGGCAGCCGTCAAGGCGGGAGGGCAGAGTACACACACACACACACACACACACGCGTGTGCGTGCACGCGCGCGCGCAGTGACATGAAAAAGCTTCTAGTTCCAGGCTTGCATCTGCTGAAGAAAACCCAATCTCTCTCCTTTCATCCGAAACACAAGTCACAATCCGCAAGAGCCACCAGCGTCATCTCCCTGCTCATCATAAACCCAAAAGGCTGCCATAGGCTCCTCACATCCAGCTCTTTTCCCTTCAGAGGACTCATTGCTTGGCACCCTGCACAGTAAAAGCTCAACCATTCTTGTTTTGTTTTGTTTTTGTGGTGGTGGTGGTTGTTTTGAGACAGGGTCTCTCTATGTAGCACAGGCTGGCCCTGAGCTCATGGTGATCCTCCTGCCTCAGCCTCCTGAGCCCTGGGCTAAAACTCAATTTTTTTGAAATACAGGATAAAAAGAAAGAATTACACAGTGAGACCCTGTCTCTAAAAAATATAGAAAACAAAAATCCAAAAACAACCCTAACATTGGACATGGTGGCACCCGCCTGTAATCCCAGCAATCATAAGGCTGAGGTAGATGGGTCACCACCAGTTCTAGACCAGTCTGGGCCACGTCACGAGTTCAAAACCAGTCTGACCACATAGCCAAACCTGTTTCAAAAAACAACAAGAGCATCAACTTCTTCTTCCTTTAAACATCCTCTCTGCCACGCACTGCTAATCCTGGCAGTAATTCATAGAGGTAAAGAGAAGAAACCCAAGAAGCGCCCAAGTTAAATTTAGACTCCCAGAGAGCTAGAGTCAGGAGAAAGCAGGGCCCTACATGAGGTCACCTTGCAGCGGGACCAGTGTTTTACCCATTCCCGATTCCCGCCTCCAAATCAAAGGCAGGGAAAACAAAAAGGAATTTTTAAAAATGAAACCATCAAGTATGGGAAAGCAGTGCAGAGTCCACAAACTGCCAGGTGCTCTTCTTGGTTTCTGATGTCACTGCCATTTTTTAAATGGATTTCCAAAAGAATCAGGGCCCTGCAAGGAGCAGGCTGTCATAGGAACGTATTTGCTTATGAGTTTCTTGAACTGGCTTCCTGTTTCTAAGAAAACTCAGCCCATCCTCAACCAATGGGCGCCTGAAGCTGATGTCTGAGCCCCAGGACTGCTCCTGCTCCCCCCATCCCCCACAATCTGCGACCACATGCGTCTGCTGTTGGCAGGCAAGTGCCAGGTGCTTGCCGTCACTTTCCTGGTTGCTTTCTACCTGCATCTCTCCAGAGCTATGAAGCCACACGCGGCTTCTGAGTTCACAGAGAGAAATCACTCCCACGGGAGTGAGAGACATGCTCAGCAATTCTTCACTTGGCCACAGTGAAAAGGAAGATTAGTACAAGTCAAACCACATTGAATCCAATTCCTTCACCCTTCTGCTGATTTTCTTTGCTAATGCTGTTAGCAATTGGCAGAGCCAATGAACAGATTTGATTTGGTTTGGTTTGGTTGAGACAGGGTCTCACTATGTATTTCAGGCTGGCCTTGACCTCACGGCGATCCTCGTGCCTCAGCCTCCTCAGTGCTCAGGATCAGAAGTGTGCCTGCCTTGCCTGGCCCATGGTGAACAGAGCTGAATTCCACACCTCCCTGGCCTTAGCAGGTGCTCGCTCATCAGTGCTTGCCTGTAATCCCAGCACTTAGGAGGCTGAGGCAGGAGGGTCAGTAGTAGAGGCCAACCGTTTAAAGTGGCCATCCATCAGGTTCTGTACAGGCCCTCAGCCCACATCCCCCAAGCCTCAGTGCCGGTGATACCGGGAGGAGCACAGAAAAGTTGTTCTGCAAGTCAAGGTGCAGGCAAGTGGTGACTAATGCTTGACGGGCAGAGGGTAGAGGATTTGGCCAGGAGCCAAGGGACCAGGGTTTATGTCTCAGGGCCACAGTAAGGAGCCCACCACCCTGATTGAGGGCCCAGTTCCCCATGGTCTTAGAGCAGGGATCAGGCTGGAGATCTCTGAGACTCCTCCAGCTCTAAGGATGAACCTAAGAAACAGGAAGTGAAAGCTCATTTCAATTTTCCTTTCCTCTAAGATAAGGAAGCCGGATATGTCAGTACTATAGCCAGACTTTTCACCCAGCAAGGTGCTGTGGGACTTAGAGAAACACTCAGCAAGTTGATGCCAGGGGACTTAGGACTCCCAGCTACCTTTTGTAAGGCTCCTCTCGCTCCACAGCTGGGTAGCTCCGGGTAGAGTTTCAAAGGCCCTGAGGCCTCCCCCCCCCACAAAGGGAGTCACGCAGGAGCTCTGCAGCCAGGCAGTTAAAAAACCTCCTAGGCCAAGTCCATAGTTTCCATGTGGTTTCTGCAAACTACACCAGGGAGCTTATCACAGATCCTCATATTACTCTACTTAGCTCCAACCATGACCACCTGTTGGCTTGTGACTGGACCAAAGAATCCAAGATATAAAAAATTTGAACACCTCTAGAGATAAAATTATATTCGGGTGGAAAGTTTAAAGTAAATTAGGACGTGTGGTGACTCACATGTAGTTCAAGCACTTGGGAGGCTGAGGCAGGAGGATCTCGGTTGAGTTACAAGCTAGCCTGGCTACACTGAGAGATCCTGCCTCAAAAAACAAACAACACAAAAAAAGTATCAGATCCAGATCTACCTTTTCTTCTTAGCTGCCTACATCATCCTAGAATTGCAAGACACAAATACAGAGGGGCTGTCGGTACCAAAAGTATTTGAAGAGAGGGAAACTGAGGCCCAAAGTAACTTGCCTGAGGTGACGCGACAGGGTCCCACCTGCTCCTGGAAGTCCACGCGGGGACGTCGGAGACCCACAGGGATCAGGGACCCGCAGATCTCAGCGGGAAGGGACTGGTCCAGGCTCGGTGCCCTCTGTCCCCCAAGGGCAAGAAGCCAGACCGGGGCTTCCGGACGCCCCACCCACAGACGGCGCCGAGAAGGGGCCGAGAGGAGGGAGCGCCGAGACCGCTGCGGCCCGCCCGGCCCTACTCAGGACCCAGGCCCGAACTCGGGGACCCTCGGGGACTCACCGGGAAGCGGTCAGCAGCCGCGCAGCAGCTACAGGGCAGAGGGGCGGGGCCGGGCCAGAGCGCCGTTCCCGCTCGGCCCCGCCCACGGCGTCACAAGGTCGTGATCCCCGCCCCGCCGCGGTGGCCTCTGGGACTTGTAGTGCACGGCGATGGACGGTGTTGGCTGCACTCTGGGGCTTCTCTGGCTGGACCACAGGCTTAGCCCAGGAGCATCCTGCATCGCTGTCATGGGGTTTTTGGACGCTCTCTTTCCCCCTTCCTTTCTCACCCCTTCTCCTCCCCAACCTCCTCTCTTCTTCCCTCTCTTCTTCCCCCTTCTTCTCTCCCCTCCCCTCTTCTCCTTTCCTTTCCTCTCTTTCCCCCCCTTATTTTTTTTTGGAGACGGGGTCTTGCTATGTAGCCCAGGCTGCCCTGGAAATTGAGGCAATCTTCTTGCCTCAGCCTCCAAAGTACTGAGATGACAAGCGTGCGCCACCACACCCTGCTTCTCTTTCTTTTTTCCCTGTATTTCTCTCAGTCCTGCCTTACAGAAAGCTCCACACCTTTGAAAGTCCATTGAGACATCTTTCTTTCGCTCTGCCTTCACCTAATCCTCCTCCACTACGTCCAGCCTGTTCTTAACTTTTTAGCCCAGCGTGGTGGCGCGTGCCTATAATCCCCGCATTCCAGAGGCTGAGGCAGGAGGATCATGGTGAATTCAAGACCAGCCTGAACTATACAGTAAAACTGCCTCAAAAAACCAAAAAGGAATAAAATAGGGACGGTGGCTGGGGATCTAGCTCAGCGTGGGATTAATCCCCACTCTCCAATACTGGCGGGGAGTAGGGGAGAAGGTTTTTCCTTAGTTCCTACCCGTAAGATCCTGAACACTTGCAGTCTACAGAAGCTTAAACTCTGAAGTGCCCCCTTTCCAAAGAGCGGCACCTCAGGCTGCAAGGAAACTTCTCCATGCAGTATTTGCAGGGCATTTGTGCCCTGGAAGCAATCAGGCTTCAGGGAGGAATGCACTTTGCATTCACCTCTGCCCCTGGCTAGCTGAGTGGGAAGCCAGCAGCCAGGAGCAGGCCTCCATCTCAGGTTCAGCTCACTTCCCGGCTGCTAGAATGAAAACTTTCCATTTTATTTTGTGGGTTTTCTGAAGCAGGGTCTCAGTAGGTAGTGCAGGTGGGCCTTGAATTTCTGCCCAGCAGGTGACACACAGTGTAATCCCATCGCTTGGGAAGCTGAGGCAGGAGAATCACTAAGTTTGAGGCTAGCATGGACCACTTAGTGAGTTTAAGATCAGCTGAACTGCATGATGAGAACCTATCCTAAAAACAAAAACAACAAAAAAGATTTCTTCATGATACTTAGAACAACAGACAATTTAGAACTTACGAATTGGTTATTTCAGGAATTTTCCATTTAATATTTTCAGACTGCTTTTGGGCTCTAGTAACCAAAATGTCAGAGGACTACTGTGTTAAGTTTTCTAAAGCAGTGAAGCACTTGCCTGGCAAGTGTGAGGTTCTGAGTTTGATTCCCGGTTTAAAAAATAAAAGTAGGGTAGTGCAAAAATCTTACCTTCTCAGTGCCTTGAACTCCTCCCTTCCCCGACCCTTCACTCACACACAACACGGACACCAAGACTGTTGCAGGCAGCTGAGTTAGTTAGAAATGTTATAGGCAGTGAGATAGGGCTGGGTCCTCAAAGGAGCCAGTGCAAACACCTGGCAGCTGCTGGGAGACAGATACCTCCTGCTGTGAGCCAGGCCTCAAGACAAAGGATCAAACAAAGGCATCCACATCCTGGGGACTGAGATTCTAATTAGTTCCCTCTCACCTGGAGTCTCTATCCCATGCCCTTAGGGGAAAGGTCACAGCTCCAAAATGCCAGCCTCCTATGTGACTTGCTTTCCCATTTGTCCCTAATGTAATCAACTTTACCTAAACTATTGATCTTACTGGCTGACTATAGTTCTGTCCCACCTCATGCCCATCTGCCTTGTGAGTCCCCGGTCTTCCCCTGCCTTGAACCCATGGCTTACTCTATAAAAGTCTCTGGAAGAGTGAGAGTTGGGGGCAACCTGCTTGGGACTCCTTCTGTCTCTCTTCGGGCAGCTTTCTTTCTCTCAATAAATATATTCTGCTCTTCACCTTCATTGTTCCTAAAATTCATCCTTTGATTTTAGAGGACACGAGCTCGTGTAGGTTGGGTGTCTCATAGTTTTATTGTATCATTTGGAGGTTCCACTGAGATCACTACACGGAGGTGAGAGTTTGCTTTTGTTTCATAGACTGGACTGGGACTCATTTAGGTAACAATTTTTTTTTTTATCGGTACCGGGGATTGAACTCATGACCACCTGCTTGCAAGGCAGGTGCTTATGCCACTGAGCTAAATCCCCGGCCCCTAGGGAACAAATTTTTATGCTTCAAATTTTGCTTTGTCTTTGCTAGTTGTTTATAACTATTTGTGATAGTTGTTTGCTATTTGCCCATTGTTTTTAATTGCTTTGTCTCATATAGTTTTATTAAAATAACGTGAATGTAAGTTAAAACATGCAAAATTTAGAATGATATTTCTTTTTTCTTTTTTCTTTTTTTTTGTCTTTTTCGTTTTTATCGGTACCAGGGATCGAACTCACGACTGCCTGCTTACAAGGCAGGCGCTTATGCCACTGAGCTAAATCCCCAGCTCCAAGAATGATATTTCTTTAATGGTATTTTTTTTTTGTCTTTTTCGTTTTTATTGGTACCAGGGATCGAACTCACAACTGCCTGCTTGCAAGGCAGGCCCTTATGCCACTGAGCTAAATCCCCAGCCCCTTTAATGGTATATTATTATTTTGTTTTTATACAAGTTAAATTTAAATTGTTTACTAAAGTTACCAGTACTGTTTGCTTGACTGTATTTAGACAATAGCCCTAGAGAAAATATTAGAATACCTCTGACAGGCTTTAATGTAAACTACAGTAAAATGGTTCTCTTAAATAGAAATGTAGCTCAGACTTAGAAAATATACATGCCTACAATAAAAAACCGGGACTCCTTCCACCATTTAAGCAGCACTAGGCTGGTGACTGGTCTTCAAGGCTTAGAGGACAGATTTCGCTGAGACAGACTGGCTCTGATCCTCCTCTGTGCTCTAGAGGAAATGTCAGGCCTTTTCTGCCTCAGTTTCCTTCCTTTGACTGTACCTTTACTCATTTTCCACTTTGTACTTTCCTTATAGAGGCACATGAAGTCAGAAGGAACTCTAGACTATTCAAACATTTTTTTGTGTGTGTTTTTCAGACAGGGTCTCACTATGCAGTTCAGACTGGTCTTGAGCTCACTTCGTAGCCCAGGCTGGTCTTGAACTCGCAACAATCCTGCTGCCTCAGCCTCCCACGTGCTGGGATTACAGGCACGAGCCACCATACCTGGCTTTAAACCTTTTTCTTCTTAGTTAAGCCCACAGAAAATGAGCGTTTGCTAACACCGAAGACAGGGAAGTCATCTTAGATAAGGGACATGTACCCCGTCTCTGGGTCAGATGAGACATTGCTCGGAATTGTGCCTGTCCAGGAGAACACACATAAGAGCCATGTCCTGGCTCAGTGTTCTGGGCAAATCTGGAGATTAAACCTGAGACAGAGGGGCTAGGGATTTAGCTCAGTGGCATAAGCGCCTGCCTTGCAAGCAGACGGTCGTGAGTTCGATCCCTGGTACTGATAAAAAGGAAAAAGACAAAAAAAAACAAAAAACCTGAGACAGAGTGGGGAGAACCCGCTTCCTGTGACAGTGGAAGAAGCTATCCCCAGAGGCAGCACACATATGGGACCTAAACAGATTCATGGTAAGGAGGCTCTCCAGCCTCTCAAGTTGTAGACTTTAAAACCTTTACTGTAAATTCATAGAGCATTAGGTAATGACCTTGCTCAGGCTTTTAACTATCCCTTATAGAATTTTGACACACAGTGGTTACTCTGCCAGCTAATTAATCACTCTTACAGCAGCTGCCACCCTCAAAAGCAGAGGGTGGCAGGTTCCCCGGCATCTGTGTGGTGAATCCCCAGTGAAGCCTTCGACCAATGGAGTCGATGGAGTGTTGCCCAGACAGACAGCTGGATTCCTCTCTGCAGACTGATCTGTGGTTGTCTCTGCTGACTGAAACTGAGAACTGAGGGTTCCTGGCCAGGGCAACTCTCTGGTGGACTCCCAGAAGGTCCTTGGTGGACATTTGCTCATGACCACTGAAAATCTCCACTTTTCTATCATCCGTAGTTCTAAACTTTTCAGTGGAGTTTCAGATCACTTAGACTACCTTCCCCACCTTCAGAGATAAGACTGAGATAGCTTTCAACAATTTACATTTCACAGCAGGTAGTAAAAAAGGATTTACATTTGTGCCTTGCACATGTTAATTCAGAGTACATAGGCCTCTCCTTTCTGTGTGCCTAGAAGACTTGAAGTTTAACCTGTGAGCTTCAACAATACAGACACTTAAATAAAATGTGGCCATGTCCCTCCACTGGAAAAGACTGCCTAGGTAATCAGAGAACACAGGCGCCTTGGAGAGTTTGCCGAGGGCCCAGGGCTAAGCTCCTCAGGTTTATTGGTTGTCTCTGCCTCCAAGGGAACCTCCTAGAACAGAATTGCTGTAGCCCACCTTGTGAGAAGTGAGGCCAAATCTGTCTTATGACAAGGTTATGCTTCCTTCTTTAAGCATTCCTTATGGAAACAAAGTCCTTGGGCTATCTGGGAGGACAGGACTGCGCCTTGGGCCGAGGGTGGACAGGTTGGCCAAATCTATCTTCCGTGCTCTCCAGGTGGCATCCACCTGCTCTGGAGCAGCATCCACCCAGGGACGCCGCCTAGGGACTATTTAGCAAATAGGAATAAAAAGGGACCCCTTATTTATTCTTCTTTATTTGCATAATTAGATAGCTCAATTCATAGCTCAGTGAAAGGTCCTGAGTTCAATTCTCAGGTACAAAAAGGTGTCGATGTCCGCTCCCGGCCGGCA